GGAGGGGAGGAAATAAATACATCCGAGCAGGGGAGGGATGCAAACCCCCAAGGTGTGTTTGTGTTGTCCTGGAGCAGGTAAATAATGGGAAATGCTTGAGTGCTGGATTAGCTGCTATTAATAACTGCTGATGCTAAGGAAATGCTGTCACACAGAGCAGGAATGGGCTGCTCTTTGCCTCAAATCCAGCACAATGGACCAAAAATATTCCGAGGCGGCATCCTGGAGCCTGCGGCGTCCGCTGTGCCCAGATATCCATCACCCCACCAGGACTCCCGTCCCTCAGACCAGGACAAGGAGTTGTATCCGGCCATTCTCTGCTGGGATTTTCTTAGTATTTGTTTGAAAGGACTTCCTGTCCTTGGAAAGCAGGGGAAAGAGCCCAGGAGGTGCAAAAGGTGGGAAGAAATGTGGTGGGGGAGGGACGTTTGGGTGAGGAGGATCCGTTTGAGCCCCGCAGGGATGGGTGGGAGTGACCTCAGAAGGCCTGGGAAGAGGTGGGAATGAGGATGGGGAGGGTTATTTATGTAGAGGTCACTGAAATAGGACTCTGGGTTACAGGTGGCTCTCCATGTCCGTGGAGCAGCAGTTTGATGCTCCCTGGGATGAGCCAGGACAGGTCAGATGGGGCTTGGAGCAACCTGGGCTAGTGGGAGGTGTCCCTGCCCATGGCAGGGGGTGGCACTGGATGAGCTTTAAGGTCCCTTCCAACCCATACCTGGGATTCTATGATTCCCTTGAGGAAGTCCCACAGCTCATTTAGGATGTCCCCATCCATCATCCAAGCCCCCCCTGCCACTGCATCCAAATATCTTCCAGCATTTGGTCCCTGGAATGTGTCCCCTGAGTCCCTCACACCTTGGAGACGCTGCCAGTGGGAGCACATCCCCCCAGCAGGTGTGAGGACAGAGAACCAGACCCAGCTGACCCAGCCAGGGGGGGTTTTGAAGCTGGGCTGCCTTTCCTGGCTGCAGATCTGCCCCCTGTGCCCACTGCAGCCCTGGCTTTACCCCTGCAGCAAAGCCAGGTGGCCCAGTGTCCTGGTGAGGGATGCTCAGGAGTCACTGGAGCTGTTTCCAGGCACGGCAGAAAGCAGGAGCCACCAGCGGTGGGTGCCAGATGGGCTCTCCCCGAGCTGGGAAGCAGCCAAGTGCTGGCAGCAGACACATCCTGGGGGTGGACAAGGACAGCTGGGACATCTCTGGGCTGGGGACTGGCAGAGGAAGCGTCTGAGAGGCTGCTTTGTCTCGGGGTGAGGTGCCAGGATGGACACGGAGCCGCACCGGAGGGGTCTGCTGTCATTGTTGCTGGCTCTGCCTCACAACACCCTGATTTGCATCTCAGTTAATAAATATCATCTCCCCAAATTTTCCACTGGAATAGCTCAGAAGGAAATCTCTCCACCCTCAGCAAAAGAAGCAGGCAGGACAAAGTGCCTTCCCGAGGTTCCTGCGTTGGACACTGGGATGGTGAACCAGCCCCTGGTGGTCCTGAGCTCTCCAAGATCAATGGGCATGACTTCCAAACAAAACACATTATTCGTGAGGTCACTCACTTTCCTATACTTTGTTTTGTGAAGGATGGTTTTTGTCGAGGTCAAAAATTAATTTTTAACTCTCTAACGAAGTTTTTTTTACATTTTTTTTTAACATTTAAAAGCTGGGCATTGTTGCTTTGTTTCCTGATTATCCTGGTGCCCTTCCACTTCTTCTCTACATGTGCTATTAAATGATGCAGATTAAATAAAATAGACATAAATTATGTCTTCCTATCGACATGGAATGTTTTGGAACCATAATAATTGGATCACTTGGAATTCCAGCCCTGTCCTCTGCTGTTCTCACTCTCCCTCCCAGCCAGGCACTGCCTGCAAATTTAATAATCATCCATGTTGTGCCATCATTCAACTCCTAATGAAAATATGGGATAAACCTGCCCCCAGGAGAGGCCCTGCATGGATTCCCACCCCATCCATTCTGAGAGTGAACTGCTGACAACTCTCCCCAGGGATCCACAGCCAGGTTTTTCACCCACCCTACAATAACTGCATGGAAATTGGGGTGCCCTGGGAGGGAGTGACAAACCCTGCTCGTGTCTGGCACAGGCAGGTCCTTGTTTGTGCCCAGGACGAGGTTCCTGGGCACCAAAGGGCTGTGAGATGTCAAGAACTGATGTGTCAAAACCAAGTCCCTCGTGCCTGATGTCCTTGTCACCGTCGGGGTGCTTACCAGCAGGGTGGCTGTTTCATGTTGATAAAATAAATAAAGTTTAAAGCAACCTGCTTCTTTTCCCACTCTTCAGTGGGATTTAATGCTTCCAGGAGGCTCAGCCAGGTTTTTAAGGCATTTCTTGGGTCGGGGTTGTTTGAAAACATCCACCCTTGGAGGATTCCCGAGCTCCTGCTTTGGCTCCTCCCCTCTTTCTGTGCTTCTCTGAAGGCCTGGGGAGACCTCAGGGCTCAAACCTTCCACCTGAGGACCTTGGCACCAGCATGACCTTGTGCATCCCCTGGGCACAGGGGCAGAGATGGGGGGCTGGGAGAAATCCCTCCATCCTTTTTCTGGGATAGATGAACCTCGATCCCTCGATTCCTCAGCACCCACGTGCCTCAAAACCCTTTGGCTTCCCCCTGCTTGATCCTTTCCTCTGGAGGCTGAGCAGAGGATTTTCCTGCTCCATCTGAAGCCCTTTGGTACCAATACAAGTAATTTTGGTGGTTTTCAGGAACCTCCTGACTTGGACTACAAGGAAATGTTGTGTTTCAGTGTTTGTAGAATCACCAAGATTGGGAAAAGACCTCCAAGACCCAACAAGTCCAACCATCCCCCAACACTTGCCAAGGCCACCACTAACCCACATCCACACAGCTTTTAAATCCCTGCAGGGCTGGTGATCCCTGTGCCAATGCCTGAGCACCCTTTCCATGAAGAGAAATATCCCCAATATCCAGTGTAAACTTATCATTGTTACTGCTTTAGGGTTATTCCTCCACATCCCAATTTACACTGCACGTAAACCTGGATCTCCCCTCCCCAAATTTAGGCTTAAGCTGGAGTTTGGACCCCAAATTGGGCATTTTCTGTCTAAACAGCCCTGTGAGCCCAGGAGGGGGTTTAGTGCCTCTGGCCCCTTCCTTTGCAAGGTGAAATCTCAATCACAGCGTTATTTTCAGACCCTTTGCTGGCGTCACAGCGATTTATAAAGGGTGACTCACAGGGACCCCCCTTTTGCTGAGTGAAAATGGACCATTTTGGGGGTGTCCTACCAAACCCTGGGGCTCTGCAACGCTGCTGTGGGAAGGGAAAATTCCTGTAAGGGCCATGGGGGGGAAAAATAGGCAAGAAATGGGGATGGGGATATAATTCGAGGCTGTTTGAAGCCTCCAGCCTGAATACCAACACCTCAGGCAGGCAGTTACTCACTGCTCTGCAGGGCCTGCAGCAGCTGCCAAGTGTGGGGGTTGTTTGACCACCAGCACAGTGGAGTCATTATTGGGACAGGCCTGGAAAACCTGGATGGGTGGCCCTGGAAAAGCTGAGGCACCTCTGTGGGCAGTGAGAGCTGCTGTGGGGAGCGGGGCTGGGGGACAGAGGGCTTGGGGGGGAAATTGGGATCTACCCAGCTCTGATGGTTGGGGTAAAAAGGGAGTGATTTGGGGCTCTAAATGCTGTGAGGGAAGGATGGGGTTTGCCCACTGGATCAGTCCCCAACCTTGCTAAAGGCTGAGGTTTGGGTTTTCCAGAGCAGCAGTTTGTGGATGAAGCACCAAAGCAGGTCCAGGCTGGCCATAAAAACCAGCAGGGCTTCAAAACACACTCCCCAAACCCAGGCAAAGGGAATTGTGCCCTGGCATTCCTGACAGGAGAGCAACACCACTGGGGCTGGGGGCAGGTTTGGTGGCACATGGAGCACTTCCAGTTCATGGGGATACTGCTGGGAGCCTCCTGGGGCACAGCACTGGCCCTGGGCTGGGGCTGACTCTGGAAACAGGGTGAGGCCATAAATCTGTGTCTGCTGCTGCAGGGAGGCATCCATGGAGGTCTGGCTGGTTAAATACATCCAGTGTCTCCTGCCAGAGGCCAACAGCATCCCTGCCAAATCTCTCACCACGTTCGCTTCCAGGAATCACTTTGGAGAGGAGCTGTGAGAGCAGGAGCAGGGCCAAGAGTCCAGGCTGCTTCCCCTTCCTGCTTCTCACAGCTGGAACAGCTTCTCCAGCCTGCTGGTGACACTGGTGGGAGGTGGGGACACAGTGGCTCAGCCAAAATCATCAACTCACAGAATGGTTTTTGGGCTGGAAGGGATTTTAAAACTCATCTATTCCCAACCCTCTGCCATGGGCAGGGACACCTCCCACCATCCCAGGTTGCTCCAACCTGGCCTTGGACACTCCCAGGGATCCAGGGGCAGCCACAGCTTCTCTGCCCAACCTGTGCCAGGGCCCAGGAATTCCTTCCCAATATCCCATCTCTCCCTGCCCTCTGGCAGTGGGAAGCCATTCCCTGTGTCCTGTCCCTCCATCCCTTGTCCCCAGTCCCTCTCCAGCTCTCCTGGAGCCCCTTTAGGCCCTGCAAGGGGCTCTCAGGTGTCCCTGGAGCCTTCTCTTCTCCAGGGGAACCCCCCCAGCTCTCCCAGCCTGGCTCCAGACCAGAGGGGCTCCAGCCCTGGAGCATCTCCAGGTTCTCCTCTGGACTCTCTGCAGCAGCTCCAGGTCCTTGTGCTGCTGTTCCCAGGGCTGGGGCAGCTCTGCAGGGGGGGTTTCACCTGAGGGGGCAGAATTTCCAGTCCAACCCCTGCCCAGGACTCCCCTGCAGCTGCCATGGAGATCATTAATTCACCAAAATTAACACCAAAGACCACCATCCCTCTCCCCCTCTCCCTTCCCCACCATCCCTCTCCTGATGGTACCAAGACCTGTGGAAAAGGGAGACCTTCTCCCTGTAAAAACTCCACAGAACCTCCAGGATAATAGGCAGAAAAAAAAAAAAAGCCCTGGGACAGACAATGTTTAAATGACTTTATTTTTGTTTTTTCCTCCTTTTATAAATGGGCACAGCACAGAAATAATTAAAAAAAATAGACAGTACCATTACAGTGCTAGATCCATTGGCAAAGATTATTTTTTTTATAGTCTTTTTTTTTTCCATTATTTTTAAAGTTTTGGCCATTGAGTAAGAACAAAAAACAATTAACAAACATTTTATTTTGTTTTTAATTTTTTAAACAGACACTATGAAGCGATTTAGGTACTAAACTCTAGAAGAGTTATGTACATACAAAAAAAAGTTCTGTTTAAGATATGTTTCCTATTAAAAATATTTACATGCATTTTTTTTCCCCCCTCCCATATTCCTTGAAAGGTACAACACTTGGAGTGTTCAAGATTGGTTTTTTTTTGTTCTCCTGTTGGGATTGTAAATCAGCTCCAAAGAAAGAGTGAAGTGGGGTCACATGTTGGGCTTTCCTTTGAATCCCTGAAATCTTCTGGAAAGGGATATAATTTTTTTCCTTTTTTGGGGGGGGATGTAATATCAATGGATTTTTTTTTTGTCCTTTTTTTTTTTTTTTTTAATCTTTTTAATTTATACAAGAACATTTCATGTTTTATTTACAGAGGAATCGATGGGTGGTGGTTCATCCTGGAGATGTTGTGGGTTTAGTGAGGGAGAAGCAGGTGATTTTTAAAAAGTAGTTCCATCAAACTGCACTGGATTTTTTTGTTTGTTTGTTTGTTTGTTTTTTTCTCAAGTCAGCAGTTCTTGTCTGGTTTGATTGTCAGCTGTGCTGGGGTGACTTCGACCAGGGGGGGACCCACAACAGGGGTAACTTAAACCCAGAAAAGTCACTGGTTACCCTTGAGGTCTTTGGAGATGCTGCAGATGAACCGTTGGGAATGTTGGGGTGGAAAAAAATAACTGGGGCATCACGTGGGTGGGTTTTTTACACCACCCCCGAAAAAATCAACATAACTGGGGGGGAAAACAACAACAAACAAAAAAAAAATAAACCTCAAAACGAAAACCAACCAAAGTTTGTACACTCCAGACTGAGACTCCTCCAGAGCCGGGGTGTGGAATGGCCATGGAGCTGCAGGCACGAGGGTTGTGGGACACACCGGAGCATCCCGGCATCTCCTCCAGCTCCAGCAGTCCAAAGGCTCCTTATCCCCCACCCTGGAACGCCCAGGCCCAGAGTGGAGGTGACCAGGATCAGGCTGGTTGCTGTGACGGGGGAGGAAGGAGCAGCAAGGAATTCCCAGGGAATCCTGCATCCCATGGGATGGGGCACGAGGGCTGCAGAGCTGCTCTGAACACCACTCCTCCTCCTCCTCCTCCTTTTCCTTCTCCTCCTCCTCCTCTCCCTTTTCCTCCTCCTCCTCCTTCTCCTCCTTCTCCTCTCCCTTTTCCTCCTCCTCCTCCTCCTCAGGTGCAGAGTTGACCCTGAACCTGCTCATGTGCCCGTGCCTTGCACGCACACGTATATACATATATACATATCTATTAATTACATACACATATATATACATACAGACACGCACCACACACCCCCTCCCCCGCTCCCAAAAGGCCCCCCAGAAGCTGCCAAGGATCCCAGGGAGATATCCCAAGAAACCTTTGGGAGCTATCCCAAATCGACCTTCCAGTGCTGCAAACTCGGGTGTCGCTTTAGAGCCTCGCGGAAAAGCTTCGAGCACACCCCCCCCACCCTCCAAAAAAAAGGGAGGGAAAAGTGAATTTAAAAAATCCAGTCTTTGTTTTTTAAGATGGTTTTGTTCTCCTTAAAGCTGGTGACTCGTGGCAGGGGTTGGAGAGGAGGGGTCTGGGGAGCCAGAGACAAGGCTTGTGTGTGTAGCAGAGGAGCTCCCAAGCAGGGATTGTTGGCCAAAATAAGGAGAGAATGGGGTGTTTTGAGGCAAACCAGCACACCAGGGCAGCCACCCAGCCCAGAGCCACCACCTTCCCTGCAGCAGGATCCCCTAAGCTTGTTTTTGTCCTGCTGCTCGTTTTTGAAAAGGTTCAAAATCAAAGAGATTTTGGGAGGAAGGACACGCTTCAGTCCCAGCCCTGCAAATCCCATCCAGGGCTTGGTCCTGCTGCTCACTGGGGCCCCTCCATCCCCTGCCCTTCCCATCCTCCCCCTTCCAGCCCTCCTTTGGGCTCTCACACGTGTTTTCTGGCCTTCCCTTCCCTTTGATCTGGCTCCTCCTGCCTCCTCCTTATTTATGTGGCCTGGGAGTGGTTGGATATTTATCATTCTCCTGCTGCACATCAGAGAGTGCCTGAAGGGCAGCACAGCTGGCAGGGGAGCCCCCACCACCTCTGTGACGATTCCAGACCTCCTAAAATCATCCAGCTGGAAAGGCAAGGAGTCCCTCCTTCAGCTCCTGCACATCACACACACACACACACACACACACACAGAAAAGAGATGGAAAAGCCAGTGGAAAATCCTTACTGTGCTCCCACACACGTCCCCAGGGAGCACAGCTGGAAGGACAAGCACAGCTGGGATCACCAGCAGGGATGTGCCCAGGATGGGTCTGTGCACAGAGGGATGATGCCAGCTGGACCTGGCAGGTGTTGGGAGGTGGGGATGTGGGAGGTGCTCAAGCTGAGATTGGGGTTAATTTTCCATGGGGTCCCTTCCAACTCAGAAAACGAACCCCCCTACACCCCCTGGCAGCACCATGCAAGCAGCTTCCACTGGGGTTTTCCCCATCCCAGGTTTTTTCTGGAAGATGACCTTTCCCAAACACACACAGCCCGTGCTCAGCTCTGTCCCACCATCCCCAGGCTCAGGATCAAGCACCTCCAGCAAGACAAGGCTTTTTTTTTTTTCCCTGCCAAGCATCGACTCTGCCAACTAATCCGGTGCCCCCGAGGAGCTGAGGCGACAGGAAGGGCTGGGACATAACTCACAACTCGTAATTTATCACCACAAAGGTGGGCTCTGAGCCCAGAAGATGCTCTCAGAGCTCACATCCCTCTCTGGGCACACAGCAACACAGCCAAGGTGTGGAAGCAGGAGAAGAACAAGGAATTAAGACCTCGATCGCTTCTGATTATCACTTTAATTGCCTTCACCTCTTTTTTTTTTTTTTTGCATGTGCTCATCTCCTGCTTTTAATTACTGCAAAGAAAAGGTCCTGCCCTGGCTCCTCTCCCCCCCTCCCACTTCCACCCTCCCTCACTTTGCGAACTGTGACGGATTTAAGTGCCGGGATTACAACTTTAACACCAGCCGAGAGAGCCGAGGTTAAGCTTGAGCGAATAAAAAAATGGTATTATGGAACTTCAGACTATTAAATAGGAGGGAAAAAAAAAATGGAATGAAGAAGATTAAGGGAAGCAGCTAAGAAAAGCAGCATTAAAAAGATTAAGCTGGGAGTTGTGTTTTTTTTTTTTTTTTTAATGCAAGCTCAAAGGATTAAATCCATGTTTTTTTCTAAAAGATGGTGGGTTTGGGTGGCCTTGATGCCATGCCCAGCTCATTAAATCATGAGGGGGCTTGATTTCTACCACTCCCCGCTGCTGGGACCCCTTGGGTGGACCCAAAAGGACGAAAAATCCCCCCAAACCATCAAATTAATGAGTTGAAACTCCCCTTTGAGCAGGAAAAAGTGGCTTTTGACCCCAGGTTGGCACCAGCCTCTTCAGCTGTGTGGTCCCTCCTTCCCTCCTCATCCTCCACAGCCCAAGGAACGCCCAAGGATGGACCCAAGGAATGGTCACACACACACTCAGCACCGCCTGCCTTCCAGCACCACCATCCAGGGCATCCAACGGGATCATTTCCACACTCCCAAGGACCTAAACCCGTGACGATTTTGAGGCTGGCAGCTCTAAATTGGGCATTTCAAGGGCTGGTCCCTGCCCTGAAGTAAAGCCAGGCTGTCATTTGGGGTCACACCCCAAGGGGTGTGCAGCCCAAACCTCCCATTTTCCCACCCACAGATCCCATCCAACCATCCCATGCAGTGCAATGAAAATTTTACAGGGATTTCATATACATATAACTGTGTATGTATGGGACTGTGTGTGTATGTATATATATATATTTAAAATATGTATTTGGTCTCTCAAATCCCTTCCCTAAAGAAGCTCTGCTGTCTCCACCAGGGCCATAAAAAACCCCATATCCACTAACACCCTCAGGGGACAAAGTGTCCCAGGCCCCATGCAGGTTAATTCACAACACGCAAAAGAGTCAAAAAAACTGATTTTTTTTGCCCCCTTTTCCCCTTTAAACTGCTCTAAGAGCAATTCCAAGGTCTCCACGGGGCACCATCGAGCTCACAACCATCGTGAAAACAAAGCTCCTCGACTGCATCCCAAGCGGTGCTTCAGCTAATTAAAAGCCAGCTCATTGCAGTATCTGACTGACTCCTCCGTGCAGAGCTTGCTCCCAAAAATCCAGCCTTTCTGGAAGGCACAGTTGGGTCTGGATCAGGCCCTGCTGCTCTGCAGCCTCAGAGGGGAAACCAACACCTGGTTGCTGCTGGATTCCAGGGCCGGGGGGGATCAGATTCCATCAGATTCCATCAGGCTCCTGGTGCCCCCTGGGTTCTGCTGGGAATTTAAGGAACACAAACCATCAGTCCTGGGTCTTTCCAAGGATATGCAGCAAGCCAACCTCTCTGCCTCATCTTCCTCACCTTCTGGGTGCCATCAGGGATCCCTCCCTGCCCCCTGAGGGGACAGAGCTGTCACCTCTCCTTGGCATCTCCTTCCTCGTGCTGCGCCTCTCGCCTTTTGTTGTCCGCTCTGGAGGAACCTGGGAGAGGATTGAGCTTCTCCATCTCCATCACTCCACCCCTTTCCAGCTCCCCACCAAGCTCTGCTCCACAACCAGCGCTCCTGCAAGCCGAGTTTTATTGGTCACAGTGAAAGCCCAGCCTAAGCAAAGTCCCTTCTCCACCAAAGCCCTCAGCAGGTTCAGGAGGTCGAAGGTCTCTGGATGTTCAGTGAGGTGGTGGCAGGAGATGCCCCCAGTGCAGCTTCTTGCTGCTCCACAAACTCTCCGAAAAGCTGATCCAAAGAGATCATTCCCAGCCCACTGGCCACGTTTGTATTCATTTCTTATTTTGCCAAGAGCAAGCCCTGGGGCAGCCCAGGTATTCCAGCCCCTTGTGCTTTTTTTTCCCAAGCATTCCAAGCGTTGTCTGGGAGTCGAGTCCTCTCTTCCAAGAGAAGCAAGGGAGCGAGGGAATTCCTGCGAAGCGACCAACCCCGTTCCAAAAGCAAACAACAAAAAAAATAAAAACAAGACAGAGGGAAAGAAAACCTCCCTCCTTTATGAATGGGAAAAAACCAAACCAAAACAAAAATAAAAGCAAGGAAGATAAATCCAAACCAACCCCCTCTGCTCCCCAGGGCTGGGAGAAGGTGTCCGGATCCCAGAGTCTGTTGTGTTGGGATAAGTCCAGTTGACCTCCAGTGGCTGTGGGCAGCCTGACCACCCTGCCCTGCGCTCTGCAGGGCGCTCCTGGGCACGGCTGCCTTGGCACTGGCTCCCTGCCCTGTCCATCCCAGCAGCAGGAAGGCAGGAGGTGCTCGCTCCTGGCTCGCCGATGCTCCGGGCACCCGATGGATAGGTGTTCTCCTTCAGCTGTTGCGGGTTTTGCTTTCTCAAATTCACAGTCTGATCCAAAAAAAAAAACAAAAAAAAAAAGAGAGGGAAAGAGAGAGGGAAAGAGGAGAGACTGGATGAAGTAGAGGAGGAGGATGAGTTTAGGGAGGGGAGGGAGGGAGGGCGAGGCACGCCGGCTCTCCTTCTACGCGTAGAACTCCTCCTGCTTGTCGGGCTTCTGGTAGGTCACGTTGGCTTGTTTGGGCTCCTCCAGGGTGTAACTGCCCTCGTCCTTCTTCTTCATCCGGTAGATGAGCAGCATGACCAGGAAGGCGGCGAAGAGAGCGCCCACCACGCCGCCCACGATCACGGCTGCAACACAGCGAGGGGCACGGCCGTCAGTGCCGCCCTCAGCCCCAGCACAGACCACCTGGGGAGGGGTCATGTGGGACTGCAGCTTGGGTTTGGGCTGCTTTTCTCCTGAAAGCTGGAAGGGAAGGTGGGGAGGGGGGGGCTAAAGGTTCGACAGCTCCCCAGGGAGCGATGCCGAGGGGTGGTGGCACCCCAAGGCTTCTGCTCTCAGCTGCACCTCGGTGGGTGATGCACCAGCACCTGGCAGCCCCTGCACAGGCTGTAACCTCGTGTGAGGAGGGTCTACAACAGGCCCCCAAGGGCTGCTCATTTGGGTTCTACTCTCAGCTGAAGACTCCCAGAGCTTTGGCTGCCTTGGCTGTGCCATCATCTCTGACCCCCAGAGCTTTGGCTGCCCCTCTTTGCCATCCTCTCCAGCTCCCCTCAGCTGCTGGTGGGATACTGACACCTCTGCCCCATCTGTGATGCCCCTCTGGCTGGGACAAGTGGACTTCCCAGGGGCATCTCCCTCCTCCCCTCAATCAATCAGAGGTTTTTACTCAGCAGCACATCAGGGTGTTTTAATCAGGGGGGTTACTCAGCAGCACATCTTTCCACTGACATCCTGAATTTTTCCTGGAAGCCCAGCTCATCAGGAAGGAGCAAGTTGTGCACAGCTCTGTGCTGTCCCAGCAAAATAATGAGGAGTCCTGGGATACTCCAAACTCTCAAGGCAAAGAATAGGGAGCCCTGGGACGCTCTAAACTCTCCTGGAAAAGAACGAGGAGCCCTGGGATGCTCCAGACTCTCCCAGCAAAGAATGAGGTGCCCTGGGATGACCACTTTGGCAGGTGAGTGGTGGGTCATCCCAGGCTCAACCCTACCCCAATACCCTGCCAAAGACCAACCCCTCTCCTGGGGCACGGCCAGCCCAGCTCTGCCCCCCAGGCCCCCCAGCCCAGGCCCCCTGGGCTCACCTATCAACACCTCTTTCCTCTCCAGGATGTTTTTCTGGGGCAGCTGAGCGGCAGAGTTGCCCGAGTCTATCGTGTTGTCGATCAGCCCCGTGTCCGCGTTCCTGCCGGGCCCGGGGCCCGCCGGGGGGGTCACCACGGCCAGCACCTCGTTCCCCAGGTCAGGACGGGTCGTGTCCTCCTCCTCCCGGATCTCAAAGTCCCCGCTGGGGCCGCTGCTCACCGGGACCTCCAGCTCGTTGTCCAGGGCTGTCGTCACCTCCCCTGGCTCCATCTGGGAGAGAGGACAAGGTGGAGCAGGGGACAAGGACCAAAGGGTGGCTCCTGCCTCCAGCAGCTCCGCTGTGTCCAGAGGAAGGACATCCCGCTAGCGAGGACAGGGTGGCCCTCTCAGCAGGGATAACACTGGGGTGTCCCCTCCCTGTGCCGCTGAGTTGGACAACTCCACTGCAGCAGCAACACAGCCTCACTTCTCGGGGCTCACCAAGGGCTGTCCTCATCCCAAGCACATTCAAGATGCACAAACTCTCACCTGTTGCCTGCAGCCTCCCCTAAAGAGGCCTCACAGCCCTCCTTTGGGCTCTCTGTCCCCAGCCCCATGGATGATGACACAGCTCACGGGTGCCTCCTTCCCACACACAAACGGCCCAAGAGTTCCTTCCACAGCAACAGAAGGGTCAGGTGCCACTGCCTGAGCACCAGGGGGTTCCTTCCCTCCCCCTTTTCTCCCTTCCACCCGCTCTGGTGGCTGCAGCCCTGTGCACAGGGCACAGGAAGATCTTTCTCACCCAGGACATGGAGCCAGCCCAGATCCCTGCAGTCCCCAGCCAAGCCCCCTGGCCAGGAGGGGAACCCAGAGAGCAAACATGGGTTGGGCAGATGAGCCACTCCAACTCCTCCATCCCCATTCACTGACTGCCTCCTGCACATCCCCAGGGCCAGATCCCTGCTGACCTTCCCCCTTGTCCCTGCTGAGCTGGACCACACTGAGCATCCCCGAGCCAAACCTCCCCGGGATCCCTCCTCGGTGGGGAAAGCACGGCCCCTCTCACGGCTGCCTCGGCACAGATCGGGATGAGCAGAGCAGGGGGTGGGGGAGTGAGAGCCCTCTCCATGTCCTGTCCCCCCCCGGGGCCAGCACACGGCTCAGTGCTTCCCACAAGCAGCCGGTTTGTGTGACAGAGATTAATTGAAGGTCAGCGAGAGCCCAGAGCGCTCCCCGCTCGTGTTTGTGCGCAGAAAAGAGCGACTAGTTTAGACAAATCACTCCACCTTTCAGTCAAAGCGTTTGCAAAGGGCCCCCGAGGGGCTCTGAATGCGAGACGGATCAGTGGATTAAATCCCCGGCTCCGGACACCCGACGGGCAGGAAATGCACCATCAGGCCGTAATTGAGGAGCGTTTGGGAGGAGCCGTTCGGGCCTCCCACTGACAGGCTGCGAGTTGGGGAACAACGGTGCGATGAGCCCCGGACACCACCAAACAAACCCCCGGGAAAGATGCTCTGCCCCCGTGGGATGTGGTGCCTCCAGCCCTGCACCCCTCCTGCTCTGCAGCACCCAGGCAAGGCAGCACTGGGGTCACCAGGACACGTCTCACACCCCTGGGTGCCCCCCATCATCATGCCCTGCCCATGCTAAACCCCCCACCCTTTAATTGCCCCCCCCAGACCCCGAGTGTTCCACTCTCTGCAGAGCTGGAAGAGCCCAACCTGGCCTGACCTCCCTCTGAGCGACTGGCCCAAGACAACTCCACCCCAAAGGCTTCCCATCACCCTCTCCTGGCTCCACACGTGGCCCAGGAGCCCCTCAGCAGGTGAGAAGGGTCCTGCCTCCTACCTGGAGGGGTTCTGTGGGCGGCAGCGTGGCCAGAGCGGGTGGCAAGGCAGTGCTTTTTTCTGTGAGCTCTGCAGTCCTGGAGCTGGTGGGTCTGGGCAGGGACCTGGGCCTGGCCGTGCCGGTGGGGACGAGGCGTGACGTGGCCACCTCCGTGGGGGTGCTGGTCTCGGGGGCGGCCGTGGTGGGAGTCTCCAGGGTGGTGGCCCGGGTGGTGGCTGCCTTGGTGGCCAAGGGGGGCAGGAACCTCCTGATGGTGGTGGGCTTGGCCGTGGCCACGGTGGTGCTGGTGGTGCTGGTGGTGGCCTCGGTGGTGCTCGTGGTGGGCGCCGTGGTGGTCGCCGTGGTGGTCGGGGGGGTGCTGGGAGCGGTGCTGGTGGTGGTGGTGGTGGTGGTGGTGGTGGCTTTCCAGCTGGGCATCACTGGGGTGTCTGTGGTCCTGGGGATGTAGAGGACGCTCGTGGTCTGCCCGGGGGTGGTGCCCTGGGTGGGGGACGGCTCGAAGGGGGTGGCCACGGGCTGCACGGCGGTGACGGGCAGCGCGGCCGCCGTGGTGGGCAGCGGCACGGACGTGTCCGTGGGGAGGCTCATGGCTGTCTCCAGCCCCAGCTCCTGCTCAAAGTCTGAAATGGGGAGAAGAGAGAAAAGTGAAGCCACTGCTGCTCCAGAATTTCCCAGGGCTGACCTGTTCCTGGCCGCCTCATCCCCAAAAAACACAGCATAGAGTGGTTCCAGGCTCAGCTAAACCAAATTCCCCAGTGGTGGTCAGAGCCCCTCTCTGGGGTCTGGGAAAGCTCTACAACACGTGCTCCTGTCATAGAGCTCCTGCTGAAGGGCTGATCCTGCCCAGCAGAGCCAGAGACCAAAGCCACAGAATCCCAGGATCAGCCAGGTTGGAACAGAGCTCTGGGATCATCGAGTCCAACCTGGGACCCAACCCAGATGAAGGGCAATCCCCTCCCTCACATCCCACAGCGAGAACCTCTCCAGTCCCACCAGCCCCACAGCCAGGGACCCTTCCCAGGAGCCCCACAGGTACTCACAGCCCGAGCCTGAGCCGGAGTAGACGTCATCCAGCTCATCATCCCCAAAGGGATCATCGTCCCCAGAGCCCTCCAGGTCCACGGGCCTCTCGTAGTTCTCATTGCGCCAGCGCTGAGCCTGTGGTCAAGGGGGAGAGACAGTGAGCAGCTCCAGCCCCACCAGAGCAGGGCCAGTGACACCAAATCAAGCCCAGTGACACCCCAGATACAGCCCCAGCCCCTCCAAAACCAGCGCCAGTGACACCTTGTGGGAAAAGGCACAGGTTAAATGCACCAGGGAAAAGCAAGACCTAGGGAGCAGGAGCACAGACAAACTCCAGAATCGTTGTTTCCCCCCAAAAAACAACTCCCAGCAGACATTTTGTGGCGAGCCCACACCGATGACATTTCCCATAGGAAAAAAAAAAAAAAAGTCCCTTTGGAAAAGTGAGGCAAAAACCCCCCAGGAACTGCTTTTGGAAACTGCCAGTAAAACGAGCACTTTGGTCCCCCAGCTGGCTGTTGTTTTAGTTCTCGGTGATTTTCAGGCGTCCTGGCTCTGGCGTGACAGCAGCGCACCATCATCAGCTGCCACAGCTTGGAAAAAAACTCTGGATGTGAAACAATATCAGACTTCAAATACCCGCCTGCTTCGCAGCGCCGCTAAAACACGGCGAGCCCTCGCTAGCAGGGCTCTTAAACATCTTGTTTTGCAGATCAAAGTGTCTCCTGTTTGTGTTGCAAGGAAACGGTTTGACACTTCGTTACAAGCCAAACAAGGAGGCTTTGATCTGCGAGATCGCATCAGATGTTTCGAGATGTAACGAGCCAGGTTAGCGCTTCAGTTTAAAATGAGGGGGTTGAAGGGTCCCCCTTTCGCCTTTTAGAGCGTTTTACCTCCTAAAAAAAAAAACAGCTCGGAGTGTCTTTATTTTCATTCCAGGTTGGAACAAAAACGGGGGTTTTGAAAAGTCAGGAGGTCTCATAACATGGAAATTTAGGACATCACTCTGTGTTTTGTTCCCACATCCCTTCTCCTGAAGCTCGTCAGACAAGCACGGGAGGGAGGTGGCAGGACAACCCCAGGGGCTGTGGGCTGATCTCACGGTGCCCAAGGAGGTGTCTGCCGGCCAAACCCTGCCCAGAGGGTCCTGCAGAGGTGCCCCCACTCAGGGTGACAGCATGAGAACTTTCCTGGGGACATAAATCTCTCGGGAAGGTCACGGGGAGTTGGGCTTTTAAGTGCCTGCTTCTCCTGGAAGTGCTGCTGAGCTTTTCCTGGCTGGATCTCTTCCAGCTCTCTCCTGTCTCTGCATCCCCCTGGTTGTGTCCTGGCAGTCTCCAACACACCACAGCCTTTCCAGAGCGCTGGGAAATTCAGTCTTTGCCCCCAGAGATGAGGCACCATCCTGGAGTTTCAAATACTGAGGAAGTTTGTTACCCACCAGAATTAATCCCCAGGGAAGTGGGAATTGCACAGCCCCTGAGTCCAAGAGGCCAAACCTCACTCAGTTTTGAGGGTTACTGGGGGAGCACCACCCAAAGGAGCCCATAAATATCAGTCAGGCCACCAGAACTGGTGGGGAAGATGCAAGGGAAAAAAAAAAAAAGTCAAGGATTGAGGGGCAGGAAGAAGAAACATTTGGAGTTGCTCTTATTTGCTTTTAGATGTTTTTACACCAAAAATATTGTGGTTCACCCAGAAATGAGGAGAGCTCAGTGCAAGAGCCCCCCAGACCACCCCTCACCTCCAGAGAGCTCCCCCAGGGCTGGGTTCCCCCTGGGTGACCTCAAAGCCCTTCTGTAATGGGAGCCACCTGGATCCATCAGGCCTCTTCCTCCCTTTAATTGGGACCAGATGGGGCAGTTCCAGCCATCAGCTCCCCATGCTGGGACCAGGAAATGAGAGTGGAAGCACCAGCATGTCACAGCAGCTCCCACCCACCTCCTCATCCACCCATCCCACATCCATCCATCCATCCATCCATCCATCCACATCTATCGTTCCATCCATCCACCTATCCATTCATCCTTCCTTTCATCCATCCTTCCACCCACCTATTCATCCATCCATCCCCCATTTATCCATCAATCCATCCCCTTTTCCATCCACCCTTCCCTCCATCCCCCATCCATCCCTCCATCCATCCATGCATCCAGTGCCTGTCCTGGATGTGCTTTCCCAGGGAGCAGAGCCTGGAGCGATGCCACGAGGGCCAATGTTCAGATGGCTCTGAGAACTGTCCAGCCCCAAATCCAGCAGTGAACCTTCCCACGAGGATAACACCCACGGATCCTCTGCTCCCACCCACAGCCTGTTTGGAGCTGGGAGCCTTCCCCTCTGGCTGTGCCTGCTCCCAGATCCACACCGTGCCGACAGGCAGGGAGCAGGATCTGTGCCCCAGCCCCGCAGGGATCCACCCACAGCAGCAGGAGCAGCTTCGCAGCAATAAAACACCTCCCAGGGCCACAACAACTCCCCCCACGTCCCCTCACAGCCAAGCCTGCAGGAGGGCAGAGCTCTTCTCAGCCAGGGCTGGCCTATGTGGATTCCAGAGGCTTGGAAGTTTCCACCGAGGAGGGGAGGTGGCACAGGGCCAGCCCCGGCTGCTGCCTGGCCAGCTCAGTGCATGTAACACCGGCGACCAGGCACCACGCCGCGATATTCATGGAGCTGCAGCATTCCTGCTGCTCGGGGGAGGGGAAATGTGGGATGGCAGAGCTTCTGTGGGATGGCAGAGCTTCCCTGCTCTTGCTTGTCCCCAAATCCCCGAGGCTGCTCCTCAGCCACTCCTGTGTCCTGGGGAGAAGGTGGATACAAACCCACGGCGAGCAGTTACGGGTGCTGAGCAACCCTTTGCTCCTCCCAGCATCCTTCATCCCAGGATTTCATCCTCCAGGAGCAGGCACGGGGTGGGGGGGAACCCCAAATGCAGCAAGCACAGCCCCAGCCAAGCTTCACAAAGACTGGGTTTGTTCCCGGTGCAGACGGGGCTGTTGGGACACGGTTGATCCCAAAGAAGCTCCCGTGTCGCTCCCTCCCGAGGTGCTGGGGTGGCTCTGCCCCCAGCCAGGCTGCCCCAGCCCGGACGGTGTCGGGTCAGGCTCGTGCGATAAATCCTGGGAGCGATCGGTGTTTATTTGGATTTACCGCCCATGGATCGTTAAGGCTCCCCGAGCCGGTCGCGGTCCCTTTTCCCTCCCCCCGGCAATGAGGAGCTGCTCCCCCTCGCCTGGCTGCGATGAAGGGGAAGGGAACGGCGAGTTCGCCGGCCGGGAAATCACAAATCACTCAGGACGGCAGCTCCCACCTCCCGACCTGGGGCCGCCTCCCCATCCATTACAGCTTCCCCTGCCCACCCCGCACATCCCCCATCGCAGCAAAGCCGCAGCTGCCTGGATCCGTCCCAAAAGAGAAACTTCATCCAGACTTTATCCCTGACCCAGCAGGTCCGAGCAAAGCCGGAGGGAGCCCCGGGTGTGCTGGATCCATCCCCCTGCAGCCCCCAGTCCTCTGGGATGGTGTCTGGGATTGTCCTGCAGGAGGGATGGAGCCGCTGCCCCGGTGAGCGTTGCAGGACCCAAGGGAAGGTTTTCCAGGACATTTTACGGATTTTATGCCTGTCTGGGGCTGGGGCTCACAAAGCCACATCCACATCTGGCTCAGCCTCCTCCCACGTCTGGGACGAGGGACACACTCCAGCACTCCGGGTCCTTCCGAGCAGCCTCTCCGGGTGTCCAAAACTGAGCCAGGCTGGTGAAGAATCCTCGGGGGCAGCGAGCAAAGCCCAGAGTGATCCCCACCCCCTGCCCTGCCGGCCCCGGGATGCCGAGGGCCGTTTATTAGCCAGCTCTGAGCCAAGGGCCGGCAGCTCCATCCCCGCAATTACAACTTCCCAGCTAATGGCTTTTGGCAGGGGTTCTCTAACCAGCTCAGCGCTGCCTCCCCCGCCCGGCTTCATTAGGGAAATTAAACCAGGGCTCGAGGCAAAGCCGCTGGAGGCACCGCGATGACAACGGGCTGGGCTGGTGTGGGGGGGTTTGCATCACTTTTGGGGATGTCCGAGTCCGTGGGAGGTGAAAAGGTTGTTTAAATGTGCCCTGCGAGGTGCTGGCTCTGCACCAGGACTGTCCTGCAGACAGGGAACTGCTCCTCTCATGTCCCTGCGCCCCACGAGCCACCGCTGCTGTGCCACGGGGGGACAGATGTGGCTCTGGCACCATCCAGACCCCAACCAACTGCCCTGATCCCGCTCCTCCAGCGCCTGGAAAGGTCACGGATCTGCTGCTGTAAAAGCAAGCCTTGATGCACAGCAGACTCCACAGGGCAGGGCCAGAAAGTCACATTTCACTGGATGTTCCTTCAGTGCTCTAAATGACCCAAAATAAACGTCAGACACAAAGGATTTGGATCTCAGCAGTGACGCGGCCACTACAGTGAGCTTGGATAAAAAAACACATCCCCCACTCCACCCCAAAGGACCCTTTTTCAGCCCTGTGCAGGGCTGAGCAGCATCAGCAGGTGATGATGTCCACCCACCACTCACTGTCCCCTTCACCTCTGCTCCCCAGCCTGGCTGGACCGGCCAGGAACAACAGCCAAGGGGCCTCAACAGCCCAAATCACCCCCAAATCCTGCACTAAGAGCCTTGGAAAGCAAGAGAGAGCTCGGAACCTTTGGCTTGGAGCATCAGAGCCAAGCAGGGGGATTAGAGAGGCTTCAGTCCCTCTCCATTGTCCACACACATCTCACCCACCCAGCACAGCGGGTGCCCCTTCCCTCCCTCTTCCCCCCCTTCATCAAGGTGGGTGACATTGTTCTGCAGGTGAAAAAAATGTAAATTTGGGGTAAGGGGTCTCACTCAGCCCCTCCCCCCAAGCAGCTCTCCGTGTACCCCAGGGAATTTGGGAGGAAATGCTGAAGAACACAGGGCACAGGAGGGATCTTCCCACCACCTTCATGGGTGATACAAAGACACTCCTCCAGACCCCTCTGTGTCTACTTTCCTGGGGGGGGCTGGTTTGGGGCTTCCTAAATGTCCTGTTCCCCCTAAACTCCCTGTTCCCCCTAAACTCCCTGCCCTCCCCTTTCTCCAGGCAGGGAGGATGAGGATGTTACATTTTTGAGGGTGTTACATT